CCTTGCGGGGGGGGGCGTCCCTCTTGATCCCCACCCAACGTGGACGTGCTCCGGAGCCGCCTTCACTCCTCGCCAGGCGAGAGGGAAAGGTTTCCAGCGTTTCCTCTCTCCCTGGGCACCATGGCCAGAGCTAGCTTGCTTTTTTTTCTTTCTTTCCACAAAAATGGGTTTTGTGCAAAATGCAAGGGGTTTCTGTTTGTTTGTAGAACAGGAAGTTTCTCTGCTAAAGTCCTCCCCACCCCATGCTGCAGAAGCGAAGAAATGTCTCAGTTGATTTTGGGGGGTTGGGGAAGGGAGGGAGCGTCAAAGACCCTGTTCCACGGTGGTCAAGCAAATCCGCAAGTACTGGTCAAACCATACTCTGAAGCTTTTCTACTTGCTCCCACCATCTTCTTCTCATTAGAAAAAGGCAAGGCACACCTGTTTCCTTCCAGAGCATGTGGTGTGGTCTCTCTGCGGCCGGCCGGCTACTTTGGTTTGCAGACATCTGGGTGGGACTGTTTTTACAAAGGCATCCTCTCCAAATTGGAACATGTGGGTGGGTTGCGGCGGCGCAACCCTAAACACAGTCATTAGTCCTCCAAAGGCAAAACAGAAACCAGAGGGAAGCGGCAAGCAAACCACCAAGGAGTTCAGGGAGACCGCCCGCCGAGGGGACAAGAAAGACCAACCGCCTCCATTAAGAAGAGAGAGTCCTTGGGGTCGGGGTAGGCGAGTCAGGAGCTGAAAACAAAGGATCCGGTATCGCAAAGACCACTGGAGGATGGAAACATACCAAGGCTGGCAATGCGACTCCCCCCCTCCCTTCCGCCAGGGCAGAGAAGAGCGCAAGGGCCCTTTGGTTCCTCCTCGGCTTCCCAAGTCAACGGGTCCGCCTGCTGCTTGGCTCCTTTTCAGACAAGGCCTGTCACTGTTTTCATGGCATTTTAAAAACACGCCACCTCGTCCCTTTTTCTTAGCCATCGCTAGCTTTTCAGGCGAGGTGGGACGTAAATGTTTTAATGCAGTCCATCACCAGCCCAATCAAACCAGTGAGCAGAATCTCCATATTTAGGGCAAAGTCAGGCCGAAGCCCCGCTGAAGAAGGCAGACTCGCAAAGGGAAAGCTTTTTGTCTCCGGAGGGGTCTTCCCTGGGCCAACTGCCACAGGCGGAGACCTACGGCTGGGCTGGCTGGAGCCCCCCCCCCGCAAACTGTGCTGAGGTCCCTGGGGGTGCAAAGACACCTTTGGTCCTTCCATCATCCTCCGCCTCTAGGATGAGGCCCGTGGGGTTCTCCAGATCCGGCCGGAGGCCGCTGCTTCCAATCAGCTCTGCTACCAGTCAAGAGACGGATGACAGCAGCAGCAGCAGTTGGACAAGATCTGGAGTGACACAGAATCCCGCGTCCTCCCTTTGGAGAGAAAAAAGAAAAAGAACAGGGAGTAGCATTTCCCCAGGCGAGAGTCAACAGCCAGGGAGAAGAGTCCGACCCGAAACAAACAGCTCAGCCCCTTCCTTGCGACAGGTCTTCAGGGGGAGCCATTCTGGGCTGAAATGTCTGGGGCTGCTGGGGGCCCAGGGGACCCACGGAGGGAGGAGGAGGGTGCAAGAAGGGACGGGACGTTGCTGCTGCTGCTGCCGCCCCCCCCAACCTGGCTCCACATGACCTGGTCTCACCTTAGCTGCCAGTTTGGCTGCAGCCTTGGCTGCCCACCCCCCTTTTAGGTAAGGCCCCCGCAGGGGAAATGGTCTTGTGGCAGAAACGGGGAGGGGGTCGTGGCACTTGGGGCGGCCCAAAGAAAAGCCAGACATCGAGAGACGCGCGCCCAGAGGGTGAAAGGACCCAAGCCTCGCTTTGGGTCGTCTCCCAGGACAGCCCGTACACTTTGGGGGAACCAGCCACCGATGGGTTCAGGTCTCCATTTCATATGACGGTGGGATACAGGGGAGGCTCTCCCTTCTGAGCTTCTTGAAGAAAAGAAAAGCAAAGCAGCACACCGGAAAGGAGGCCGGAAGCAAATTCATCTTCCACAGAATCCTCCCATCTCTATAAAATGAGGCCAGCAGTTTGTAAAGGAAAATCAGGAAATATGTTCCCACGACTCTGTGGTCTTTTCAAGGAACAATCATAGACAGACACATGCACATGCCTAAATCAATCAAATTAACAAAAATGATGCCAACTTGTCACAGAATGTCGTGACTACGGCTCCCGGAATCCTCCAGTCAGCATGGCCATCCTAGAGTGGCCTTATAGGCCAGATGGGCGGGGTATCAATCAAATAAATAAATAAATAAATCCCTGCAGGGCCCCCGTTAAGTCTAACCAACAGCTAGAATTTCCACACTGCCAACCTCGCAGTGGGCGCATCATACCTCCCCAAGTCCCAAAGGAAACCATCCCCTGCAAGAGGGCCTGATCCCAGCTCTGCCCATCTCCAAGGGAAGACAGATCTCAGGTTTCGGGGTCTGCCAAGGTCACAGCCTATCTTTACTTTTTTAAAAACTTTATTTAGACTTATACCCCACCCCTCTAGACAAAGTCTATCTTCACCAAGCAATCCAAGTCTGAATTCACAACGGATCCTATTATTATAACTATACCAAAATTAAATGGACTTGGAAGGGCCATCCTCAGACTGGAGCAGGTGGGCTGGAGGCACCAGGAAAATGCCAGGGGTGTCCCAGCGCTTCCCAGAGCCCCCACAGAACCCTTTTGTGTCCAGACTGAAGACAAGGAAGAACTCGGACCCTTCATCTCAGTGGGAACCGTAGATGAAAGCGGCAAGAAATGGGCCAGATCTGCTTCAGATCACGGCAAGCGGCTGCTCTCAAGACAAGAGAGGCCGGAGGAAGAGGTCCGGCCGAGCCCGGCCCTTCCCCTCGGGCGCCACCGAGGGCCCCACAGCCCAGCCCAAGAGAGGTCACCCAACAGGGCAATGGCAGAGAGAAAAAGGCCGGGAGAAAGTCAGCACCACCACCGGGCAGTAAAGAAGGGGGCTTCAAGCCTTCCTCTAACAAGGGAGGGAGGGAGGGTCTCAACAGGGAAGACTGAAATCAATCACTTGCCAGCCCAGACCGACCTCTGGGGCACCACCGAGGCAGAGGCAGCCAGAAATGCAGCAAATCTCTCCCCCCCGGGCGCGCAAAGAGGCTCCACAACACAACAGGACCAACACGACGGGAGGCACAGCCTTCTCAGGGTAACAACCCCCCCCAAGGGCCAGCCGCTGCCGCACGGGAGCCCCTGCTCTTGTTCTCGGGCACCGGCCGGCGACCCATCCGAGGGCTCAGGACTTCTGGGGAAAGGGGACTGAAAAGAGGGAAAAGAGCTGCAAGGGGAGCCACCCGGCGGCTCCTACGCCAGCCCTGAGCAGCGAAGCCATCCTGGGGGTGGGGGGGGGCGGCGATCTCGCTCTGAAGGCCTGCGCCATCCAGCACCCGTCCCCATCCCCTCCCAGGGCTGCGGTGGCCCCCACAGCTTCCCGAAAGCCAATGTCTGATGGTGGAGGTGGGCTTCCCTGGGGCCAAGGGTGGAAGGCTCTGCCCCCCCCCGTGCAGCCAGCCAGCCAGCCAGCCAGGCAGCTAGCGGTCTTCCCTGAGGCTGAGCTTCCAGTCACCCGCTGCAGCAGGCGGTGCGGCGAGGGTCGGGGGTGTGTGTGTTTGAGTTCTAATTCTTGGCTAAATCTTAATTTTAGCCTGTCTCAGGGAGGAATTAGGAAAACTGATAAAGTAACAGTTCAGCAAAGTAGGCCAAGTGCTTTGATGTTCATGAGGTATACATTATTCTGTATTTTAAAAATCCTCGTTAT